AGTTATTTACTTACCTGAATTTAAATGCTAGACGGGGTCACAGTACCGCTAACTAAATTCTGCATCACGGCAGAATCGAAGTTAAGTTTGCATATGTTTTCAATCTGTCAACACGAGGGAAGATGACATTCTGGAAGTGCGTGACGCGTAACGCGCCGAAAAAAAAAATTCCTGGTATAAGTGTTTTACGGTGCAAGTCTTTGTTGTATGTTCGTATAGCATCTCGCACATATTCAAACTTGGTTTGTGGCGCCTGTGGCCCCAGTAATGCTGAACGTATTGCGATCATAGAAAAGATGTCGTGAGTCACTTGGTATGCTCCTGACTTGTTAGTCACGTGAGTATGTAGGGCAATAACCAAAAATGCAAACATCGACCCTACCATGCTAATGATAAAAGTAAGGTTTTCTGCATTTACGTTAGGTGATCTTTGTTCGATCCACAAAATTGGCGCATGAAAATAAGAGTTTTTCTTCACCACCTCTAAATGTTTGGTTCCGGGTAGCGGTGCCACAAATCACGTGTTACCGTTCTAGATCAACCTACTGGCTGCTCATTGAGGGGTCCATAAAGGCACATTGATTGATGACTGCGTATGGCCTGAACTGAAAATGATATACTCAGACGTTTTCTGAGCGACGAATGAGCACCTTTTACACTCCTCTTTCGTTTCGAAAATAGACGAGCACGCGAGCGAAGCGAGCGCGCGAGAGAGAGCCCCTTGCTCTACTGGTCAATAAATCCCCCGCGGCTTTTATTTTCATACGCAAAATCGACGATCTTCAAACAGAAAATAGATCGACGATCTCCAGTGAAAAAGTAGAGGGTCTGTGAACAAGCTACGAAGGTGCTTGCTATTATTTTAGTGAACTTTACAAGAGGTCTCAGGTGATTATGCTAACGTCATGAAAAGTCTACTTTAGGGAAGGAGGAGGAGATGGGTGGGTTGGTTGGCATTGGGTTCTCCTTTGGGATCAACCCTACACATACAAAAATTCATGTCTTTATCACTACATTTAGAGCTAACAGACTTTGTTTGATCCACAAAATTGGCGCATAAAATCAAAAGGTTTTCCTCACCACCGCTAAATGTTTGGTTCCGGGTGGCGGAGAACAGAGCACGTTGTACCGTTTCAGAACAGCCTACTGGCCATGCTGGCTGATCATTTAAAAGGGGTCCGTAAAGGCACATTAATTGATGACTCTGTGCGGCCTGAAGAAAATTATATACGCAGACGTTTTCTGAGCGACGAAGGTGCTGTCTTTACACTTCTTTTTCTTTTCGAAAATGGCCACGGACTTCTCTCCTAGCTCCTCGCCGCTAGGCGGTCGTTTTTGCCTGAGAGATACCACCACGAAGGAGTTTTAGCACACAAGTCACTGCAGGTGCAGACCTAGGAAAAGGGCATTCTCCATCTGAAATTTTAAATCGAAATGAAAGGCTGTTTTCAGCCTTTTATTTCTTTTCTCCGCAACGTATTTGGTTAAAAGAGAGTAAGTAAAATGGATGAGGCACTTTAAAGCTTTTTTTTCATTTTCGCGACGGATTTTGACGTTATGAAAAAGAACTTGTCAGTGAATTGGTTTATTTTCTAGCCTGCGAACAAGTGCCGGGGGGATGGTGGCGGATAGAGCAAGGTGACTACACCTTTTTTCAGGCGGGAGCTAGCAGTACGTACATTCTGGTCTACCCCATACTGTATAGACTGGCCTTTGAGGGCCTCTGTTCGGGGGGCGAGGGATCAGTACAATTCGTCATCAGCAGGGTGAGGTCTCGCCAGAAGATGCCCTTGCTGCAGAGGAGCAAAGCAATACTACTTTCAGTAATTTAAACATCATACTTGTATTTCGCTCATCAAATGTGTCCATTGTCCATTTTCGATTTGTGGTTTTTCAGAAAGCTTTACTCGTTTCCATTTCCCTGCTCTACCCTCATGTTGCATATGGCGTACGTGTGTACCTAAATCCTTCAATTCATACTGAGGTGATCGATAAAGAAGTCTATACGCTAATCGGGGTTAAGATTAGTTTGTTACAAGCAAAGGCGCGGAAGGCTAAGTGCAAATAAAAAAAACTAGTGTGAAAAGTTTTGCAGACTCGGCTTACTCTATTTGTTTTCTTTCTCTATTTGAGTTTCGGCTGGTTACATCCTAAAATCAAGTTTAGTTCCACATGTTTTGGGAATATAAAAAATAAAACTAAAAAAAACATTGTTAATTGTACACTCGTGCGATGATTTATCCTTGTCTATACAGTTGCGTGACCAGACTCAAATTACACACGGGCTTTCATCACGCATCACAGCGTTTAGTCTGAGACTAAACGACGGAAGATTTCAGTAAACTGCGGCCACTTGCGGTTGAAACGACTGTGGTAAGTAATTCTTAGAGATCTCGAATCCTATTTAGAGCTAGCACGCCGTTTCTAGAGGCTTTATTTTAGGTGCAGAAACTCGAAGTTAATATATATTTACACTCCATGAGAACTTAACAGCGTTGTCTTTTTCAGCTACTTGCGTGCAATCAAATGCAGTGTTAATCTACTTAGTTCTTTTTTATAATCATCAAATTGAAAAGCGTTTTTCAAAAGATTTTTAGAGCTTCCCGTAATGTGCCCCTTGTAAAAGAAGCTAAGTTAGCAAAAACTTTTGAGTGCCTACACTCGCGGCTAGCTTGTTTTCAGCGTTCCAACGTGCGAAACTACGCTGCACGTTTCGGTGTCTCAGCGACGCACTTTTGTAATGCCGCCAAAAATTTTTTAACACAAGAAACGGCAAAGAATATGCTTTTAAACAGTGTTTGTTTCATGTTGAAACTCCATGTATCAGTTGTTTTTTTTGATGGTGAAGTTAGGTCAAATTTGCCATTTTTGAAAAGAGCCGAAATCGTGTTTCTTCTTGCGGCCAACAGAGTCACATTTAAACAGCTTATCTAAAGATAATTGCAGAATTATAAAGTACAAGTCTGTGTTTTCTTTGTGACTTGATTTCATTTAGAGATGTCATCCCGTTTTTATGTACGAGCGCGAAGAAAATGCTTAATTTTCGCTAATTTCATACTCGAAAGAGCGCCGATTTGGCGTTTTTCAAACTTGCCCGATTCAGGAAAAAATAAAAAGCCGTTACAAGTTTTAATGTGATTTTTGAAATACGTGCACTATAGAGATTATGTGGGCAAAATATGAAGAAATTCAAAAATTCACGACTGTCAACCGATTCTCGAAAATTACAGACATTGGCTCTTAATACATAGAAGAGCTATAAAACTGATACAACTAAAACAAAACCTTACCTCTTATTTAGCCTGTTCACTTACTCACTTTTGGCTCCAGTCATAGAGCAAAGGAAACCACTTCATCCTTACCTATCTTTTGGTTTTCCCTGAAGCTCATTCATTTGCACTATATTCGATATATTTTTCCAGGTTTTCATTATTCCAAACAATTCCCTTTCAATGTTTTCTTACACTAACAGTCTTGTATACCAGTACTACTGTTCAGTCTAGTTCAGATGTTTGGTGCTACTTTGTTTTTTTGCCATTTATAGCCAGCTTGTACCGGCATCAGTCTTATTAATTCCTTCTTTATGTCCCTTTTGAAAAATGCATAAGCCAACGGATTAACAGCGGAGTTAATAACCAACATAGGTATTCTGTATCTAGTATCTGAACACCTTTTGTTCAAGAAAAAAAACAGAATACCACAGCGTATAGCAAGAACATTGTAAGCAACAAAGAAACCCGAAACAACTGACATCAATATAACGGCAGATTTCTCGTAGGTTTTATACGAAACACGATAATTAAAACGTAATTGTCGTGTTAAAATATGAATTTGTTGGTTTTGTTTATATACAACAAACAGTATTGAAACCAAGCAAAAAATAACCATGCAACATGGCAAAAACGCAAAGGAAATAATGGCAAACGACATGAAAATTTGCATGTTGAATGAATTTAAACCTATCCAGAGTGAAGATTCAAGCGAAATAAAAATAACTGTTATCGTCCAAGGAAGCGCAATCATTTGTATGACGCGCCGACGGGTCATAAAAGTTACATATTTGTAAGGCATCACGATGGCAATATACCGCTCCAATACTAAACTGCACAGGCACACCACAGAGGCGTCTTGAAAAAACCAGCGCACTATCAATCCAGCCTTTTTTAAATCTTGCGAATAGCTGCGATCTCTTGTCATCTCGTACAAAAACAGCAAAGGTAACACACATATCCCAACACAGAGATCTGCAACTGCGAGTGAAACCACAAACGCGTTGGTTTTGGTGCGAAGTTGTCGTTTGTTGCACACAAGGAATATAATAAATCCATTTCCAATNTATAAAACTGATACAACTAAAACAAAACCTTACCTCTTATTTAGCCTGTTCACTTACTCACTTTTGGCTCCAGTCATAGAGCAAAGGAAACCACTTCATCCTTACCTATCTTTTGGTTTTCCCTGAAGCTCATTCATTTGCACTATATTCGATATATTTTTCCAGGTTTTCATTATTCCAAACAATTCCCTTTCAATGTTTTCTTACACTAACAGTCTTGTATACCAGTACTACTGTTCAGTCTAGTTCAGATGTTTGGTGCTACTTTGTTTTTTTGCCATTTATAGCCAGCTTGTACCGGCATCAGTCTTATTAATTCCTTCTTTATGTCCCTTTTGAAAAATGCATAAGCCAACGGATTAACAGCGGAGTTAATAACCAACATAGGTATTCTGTATCTAGTATCTGAACACCTTTTGTTCAAGAAAAAAAACAGAATACCACAGCGTATAGCAAGAACATTGTAAGCAACAAAGAAACCCGAAACAACTGACATCAATATAACGGCAGATTTCTCGTAGGTTTTATACGAAACACGATAATTAAAACGTAATTGTCGTGTTAAAATATGAATTTGTTGGTTTTGTTTATATACAACAAACAGTATTGAAACCAAGCAAAAAATAACCATGCAACATGGCAAAAACGCAAAGGAAATAATGGCAAACGACATGAAAATTTGCATGTTGAATGAATTTAAACCTATCCAGAGTGAAGATTCAAGCGAAATAAAAATAACTGTTATCGTCCAAGGAAGCGCAATCATTTGTATGACGCGCCGACGGGTCATAAAAGTTACATATTTGTAAGGCATCACGATGGCAATATACCGCTCCAATACTAAACTGCACAGGCACACCACAGAGGCGTCTTGAAAAAACCAGCGCACTATCAATCCAGCCTTTTTTAAATCTTGCGAATAGCTGCGATCTCTTGTCATCTCGTACAAAAACAGCAAAGGTAACACACATATCCCAACACAGAGATCTGCAACTGCGAGTGAAACCACAAACGCGTTGGTTTTGGTGCGAAGTTGTCGTTTGTTGCACACAAGGAATATAATAAATCCATTTCCAATGATCGTCAGAATGGAAAGAAACCAGCCAAGAACCAAAAACCACGTTTCCATTTTGCAGTCAGAGGTCTTCGTCACAGTTAATTCAGCTCCGCCAATATTCAGTTACTTATACAAACACCTGATCTCGAGTTAAAAGCTTGCATACAGGAAATATAATATAGAATCGAAGCTCTCCTTGCGACCGCTCTCGTAAGCGACCAACCCCGTTTGATCTGAGACTTAAACTTTGTAATGAAAAGCTCTCTTAAGCGACCGCTCCCGTAAGCGACAGTGACCACTTTTGGGATTACCCAACTGGACTTTTCCTTTACTTTAAAGCTTTCATAGGCGACCACTCAGAGTCTTATTCATATAAATCAACACTTTAATGAAACAGCACACTGCGCCAATGGTTCCTACACCTGTTTTTTCTTTATGAATTACAATGAGTATCTGATGCTGTCGACTCTCGTAAGCGACCACACTCTATTGTTTAACCATAGGGTTGCTTATGAGAGCTTATTCTCGTGAGCGACCAGCTCTAGTTATGACCACTAGTGGTGGTGTTTGAGGAGAATTAGCAATTTTTGGGGGGAGTAAAAGTGGGGAGTAAAATTTGATATAGCGAGTAGCAAAAATTAATAAATCGTCCTTGAAAAAGATGCTCGGGAAACTTGTTAATTTATGCTAACCATGTTTAGGCAAGTACTAGTAATGACGTTGCAACACCATAAGGTCCATTTGACAGGTTAGCAAGGCCATTAGATAAATGGAGGATGGAATAAAAAAAATTGAGAAAGGAAAATAACAAAATCGTGGAGGAGGAGGAAAAGAAAAATGAAAAGGAGAGGTGTAAGCCGAGTAAAACATTGTGCGCAGTTTAAAAAAAAGATAGCTTGCCTTCTTTGACTATTTTAATAGAATATTTAATCGAAGTCTTTTTTTTGCAATTATTGTAAAGGGTCATAAAGTTGATTTATTGTGTCTTAAGAAACGTGTCTGTTTTTATTGGAAGTGTTTGTTGATTAGTTGCGTGTTTCAATTGATCCTTGTTGAGCTCAACTAATTTGTATGCAAATGTGGGCTTGTTAACTCGCATAATTAACTAACCAACGGCGCGTGAAACGATGAGTCTTCAATAGTTAGTCGTTTCCTTGAGATAGAAAGGAGAAAACCGTTTTGTAATAGTCAGACAAAATTGAGACAAATATTTTTCAGCTCCACTTTGTGTATATGTGTGTTTTGCCTATATATATTCGATATTTAGTGGTAAATAGAGGACATTAGCCGTTTCTAATGGGCTTGCTAAACTGTCAACTGGACCTTATAGTGTTTTTATGTCATTACTAGTACTTGCCTAAAGATGGTTAGCATAAATTAAACAAGTTTCCCGCGCATTTTATTTATGGGTAATTTATTTTGCGGTCCCGAAAGGGCATAATTCTACTCAGACACCACTACTACCACTTTTTCGAATTTCCGAGGTTGCTTACGAGAGCTTCGACTGTACATCACAAAAATTAGTTAACTGCGGTAAGAAAAAGGGCGCCTCTTCCGGGAAAGGAGACACATCTGTCAATGTTTTCTCTACAAGTTTATTGCTTTCAATTTAGTACATGATTAAAACCATTCTGGGTATACATTTTGGCGGTTCTAGGTAATCATCGTGATTATCACCTTGACAACCCGAAAAACTTTTGACAGTACATTAACATATGACGAGGAACCAGTGGCCCTAAAAGACTACTTTTCCGTTTCCTGTTATTGAAGAATGATGGGCTCAATGTTCGTTATCCAGTTTCCCTATAAGAACAGAAAGAGTGGAGAAGAATCACAAAATATGAGGTTTTTCTTACATAAGCGGTAGATTAAACTTCCTTAATTTATACTGATCGTTTTAACCATCAGTATATTATCAGTATATTAAAATACACTGTAGTCCACTTTTAGGCATCATATAAACCAATTTGGTGATTGTTTCTCCGCAGAAGCAACGCGAAAAATGAATATATATATATTTAGTCAGGGGCGGGGGGGACGAGGTCTTGGACCGAGGAACGATGTTCTCACAACTTGCAAAGCTGTCACCCTGCTTGGTGGTCAGCAGATAATGGCAGTATTTTCCCACAGTAATTAATTTTAGACTTGTTAGAAGCAAGAAGCGAACCGGCCGAAGAAATCATGCATCTTTGTTTTTCTGGCATATCGTATTTGTCCTTCGGTACTGAAATTGCGGGAGAAGCTAAAACGCAAGCGTGTTAGATCTTAACCAACCACAACGCGCTCGATCGATAGGTTACATAGTTTTTGCCGGGCAAGGATAACTTGATGCTGATAGAAATTACTGGAGCAAGTGTCAAATTTATCGGAAGCAAGTATATTCAAGAGAGATTTAGAAACATGAGCTTACTGATCTACATATAACTGAATAAAAATTAACACTTCATGACATTTCACTTCGTTTATTTCGATCAGTCAACACCTTGAATCCAAAGTTAAAATTCAAAACGATTCTAATAAACAAATCACAAATACTACTGAAAGCTCGTACCTTGAAGCGACTTTAACTTTCCCAAGGTTTGCAGCAAAACACTGCTCGATAGCTCAACTCTTCGGCGGTTCTTATCAGCTATACGGAGCTTTGTGTTGCATATTCCAAACTCTGCAGAGGGAAATTGTTTAACAGAAAAAGAAAACCACACACTGTCTGAAAAGCGACATAAGATCAATAAATTTGCGAATTACCAAAATATAATAGTGAGAAACCTGGTAAGAAACTGTCCCGCCTTCGACTGCCATGTTTGACCGTTGATCTATGGTTTTTGACGTAATGCGCATGACCAGTTCACAAATCCGCTGGCAAGACCCTTGCTGATCGCTTTGCAAATTGTGATAACATTGTTTGAATTTCATTTTTGAGAATGTATGGGAAGTAGCTTCCCCCCCGTGATATTTAGTAAAATCCAACTGGTGGTCTATTATTAATTCTGCGTTCTGATTGGTTGAGCTACTACTAGGCTGTATGTTATACCCAACAAGTAGCAAAAAGCGCCGGATTTTTGGCGGCAAAAAGAGGTTTAAGGCTTACTTTAACTAGCTAAAGTTGTTTTGTCTCGATATTTTTGACCAACTAGTTGGATTTTACTAAAACAATTATTGGCTCTCACTCACTCTCACTCTCATGGCCTCTGAGTCAATAGTCCATTCGGCCTTCGGCCTCATGGGCTATTGACTCAGAGCCCATTCGGGCTCGAGGAATAATTGTTAAATATATATATATATATATGTTGCTTAAAAAAACGGTCCTTGTAAAAAGTGTCATTTTTATGTAAAAAAGCTGTTTTTTTACAAATTGAACTGTTCTAAAAATACTGCTTTTGAACTGTTCTAAAAAAAGCTGCTTTTTTATGTAAAAAAACCCTGTTTTGTTACAAAAATAAAGTTGTAAAAAACGTGCTTTTTTACAGAAATATATTTTTGTAAAAAAGCTGTTTTTTTACAAATTGAGCTGTTTTAAAATACTGCTTTTTTTATGTAAAAACCTGCTTTTTTACAAAAACAAAGTTGTTAAATCGCTGCTTTTTTACAGAAATATATTTTTGTAAAAAGCTGCTTTTTATGTAAAAATCCTGCTATTTAAAATTGAGCGGTTGTAAAAAAGCTGCTTTTTACTGGGCTGCCCGGCAAGCCCAGTCATAAAATGGGTTTTCGGTCGTCGGTGTCAAAAAGTGGTCATCCGGGGGAGGGAAAACACGAGGGTCTGGTACGTAGAAACGATGTTCTCACAAATGGTTTCATAGGACTTTCTCTTGCATGAACCCTTGCACGGATACTTTTTGTACCTTGTCTGCGCTCCCCCTAAAAAACCCACAAGGCGTTGCGAACCTGAAGAAGGCTATTTGCGTTGTTCGAAGCGACTCGACCATAGGAGTAACTCTATAATTTTTTTTATTGTTCGAGTTTAAGTCAGTTAGATGATGTTGGCGCTGGGAAACTCAGAGAAATGCTCGCGTTGCATTCAAACCGACACGCCGTTCACGGTAGGTTCACACTAAAAGACTGAAAAGATGACTGTGAGCGTCAGATTTGGAACGCCGTGGCTGCTTCGTGAACTATCGATCCGTACATGAACAATTAAGAAGCACAATTTATGAGCAAAGTATTTCACCAGTTGACGACGCTATGGCTGAAGACTTGATTGTAAGCCGTCATAGTCAGTGAAGCGAACAACTCAGTTGCCGATGAATGGCAGATGAATCCTGATGTGACGCACGTCCATAAGCGAGGGACGTGACAACTTTGCCATGTTAGAAGACTGGCTTTTCCTTTAAATGTTTCCTTCTATTTAATGCAACACACGCCACTTTGGAGATCTAAATTTCGGATACTGAGGATAAAGAAGATACGGACAAAACTAGGAACTCTGAGAATTTCGCACACAAGTTTAAAGCTTCTCCGTGACATCCCATCCGGGAGCTTCACAGAGAGCGACTTGAGGAAAATAGGAGCTATTACTGACAAGGTTTGGTGACTGAGTAGAGCATACAAGTGTAGCCCACGTCGAGGTTTCAAGGGTTTTGCTTTTGTTTGTATCTGTATCTTGCTAAGCTTTTGTCATTAAATTTGTACAAGATCTTGTGATCACAATTCTGTGTTTTCGCCCATTCAGCAAGCACGCTATATTGATGTCAGCATTAGCGAGTTTCAGAAACACGCCTTTGAAAATTTTCAGCTCTCGTGATGTTTCTTGATATTTCTTTTACTATTTTATGGAGATGTAAACTGAAGTCACCGCAAAATGGAAACTTAAAAAAGCGTATAATCCATTTATCTTCCATATTGTTTAGCTGGCACAAAAAACTCGGACGAGTTATAAAGCGGCATAGTTATCTTGCATAAGGAAGGGTAAGTCTCCGCGGGTCCAATGTCGCGGCACGACAAAATGATTTGGAGTTCGAGGTAACTGAGTGAAAACGACTGATATGAAAAAAATACAAAGGCAAAAAAAGTCGTTTTTGACTCTAACATCCCTAACCTGTAAATTGGCTACCGTAGAGTATCGTGCATAAAAA